TAAGCAGCCTTTGTACTGAAATCCCCTGTGAAGCTAACATTAATGCTATAATTAAGGTCTTGTGAAATTCAACAGACCAGGGAGATCTGTGATTAATTATTTGAGAATAACCTTGGAATGTAATTAGTTTTAGTTTGAAAAGGAGCACTAGGTTTAAAAGTCTTGCAAGGCCTTGATGGCTGCTATGGACCTCATGAATGTGAATGCCCACATATGAGTATGAGATTACTCCAATTCTACTGAAGTTTGGAAACAGGATAAAATGAGAGGGCATCTTACGTGGATAACAAATATACCAGGATGTATGATGGCTCCTCTATCAATTTTCTGATTTTATGTATTTAAATTATGATAAAACACACTAAACCCTGTTTCATAAAGATACGGATAGGAATCTCCTGGTCATCCTGTCCCCTTCCTGGAACACTACTGTGTTTGGCTTCCTTACTTACTGTCTTCTGGCATTTGTTTCATTATCCTTGGATATTTTAACATCTCTAAAAATGCACCACTACCTTCAAGGCCCCTAAATTGCTCTTCATGGAACTCACGCAGTAATGCGATTCTCAGAACCTTATCTTCTCCAACCGCTGCTCTATCATTAACCTCACTAACACATCTCTCCCTCTTTCTGATCAGCACCTCATAGGCTGCAAGCATATTTTGCCCCAACCAAACCACTCTCATATGCCACACTTAGACCCTGCAAAAAACTGATCTGCAGCAGCTTTCCTTTGACATTCTACCTCTCCTCTCAACCTTTTCTCAACTTACACTGCCTTCCTTGATGACCTGGTATCATCCTATGGCTTTCAATATCACCTGTATGCTGGTGAAACCCAAATCTACCTCTTCTCGTCTGATCTTTCTCCCCATCTTTTGGATGCAGGTTAACAATTGCCTATCCACTGGTTTTGACTATATGTGATTCCTAAAACTCACCTCTCCAAGACCAAACTGCTAGTCTTTCCTCCCACTAAGGCTGTATCTGTGCCTCTTTACCTGAAGGTCCACAAAACTGTTCTAACCCATGCCACATAGGTGTGCTCTTGGACTCTAACCTTTCCTTTTCTCTTTACATAAAATATATTATGATATCCAGCAGCTTTCCCCTTAAATAGCATTTCCTATGTTCACCCATTTCTCACTCAGGATGCAATTATGATGCTTGTCCATGCTATTGTTGTTTCCGGACTTGATTATTGTAACCTTCTGCTTGTCGGACTGAAATGTGCCAGGATTGCCTCTACCTTACCTCCAGCAACTCACACCCCTCTGTCGGACTCTACACTAGCTTACAGTTTCCTCTTTATTCAAAGTTCTTCTGCTTAATTACAAAGCTCTTTAGAACTTTGCCCCTACCTGCATTTCTTTACTCAGCAGATGTGCAGATATGCTCCACCCCAGCCTCTTTGTTCCACCAACCACCTGTTACTGTCTCATTCTTACAATCACCCCCCACACTCTGCAGGGCTTCCACGGTTGCCTACTTCTTCAGGAATGTGCTCCCTGGTACGTCCAAATCTCCCTGTCTCTACTATCCTTCAAAGAATCAGTAAAACCTCAGTTCTATAGGGAATCATGTCAGGGCTCACTTTGACTCCTCTGACCTGCAGGATTTCCATGAGTGTACACTCCTTCAGGAATGTGTTCCCTTGGGACATCAACAGGGGTCAAGTCCTGGGGAATAAAGTGTGGGAACTCACCCAAGATCCACTCCCGCCCCCCCAAAAAATAATATACACTTGTATGCATATATAAACGCGTGCACACACACACACTCAGGCACACACATACACTCACAGACACACACTCACAGACACACATATACACTCATACGCATACACTCGCAGACACACACACTCACAGACACACACACTCACACACACACACACTCACAGACACACACACATACACTCACAGACACACACACACTCACAGACACACACACACACACTCACAGACACACACACACACAGACACACACACAAAGACACACACACTCACAGACACACACACACACAGACACACACACAAAGACACACACACTCACAGACACACACACACACGCACTCGCACATACACTCACAGACACACACACACATACACACAAATTATTATTATTTTTTAAATTTACAAAGTCCTACCTGGAGAGCTGGTGTGGACCTGTCACTGGGGTCCAGTGGTGCTTCAGTGTGGCGGTCACCTGTCCCCCTGTCAGACACGGCGAGGGAGCTGTGTTCTCTCTGCTCTGCTCCCTCTGTCTACTGATGCTGTGAGCCAGAATATGACATGATATTACGGCTCCCGGCATCAGCAAACGGTGCGCAAGGGAGCAAAGCAGAGAGAACACAGCTCCCTTGCCACGTCTGACAGGGAGACATGTGCTTGCCTGGGGGGTCCATCAGGTGGCCATCAGGCCACCTCTTGGGCCCCCTCATGACAGGGGGAACACGGGGGCATTTGGGGGCAGCATTTGTTGCCGCCCCTTGAGTGCCTGCAGTAGCAATGGGAACAGTGTTCCTGCCGTAAAAAAAGTGCAGGAACGCTGCTCCCTCGCGTTCCTGCAGGACTCGAGCCCTGGACATCAGGATCTCCTTGTCTCTACAATCCTTCAAAGAATCCCATCTACTATGCTCCCTCCTCACAAACACCCCTCTCATTCTTGGGTACATTTAAATCAATTTCCTCACTTGCCTTTGTGTATTTGTCCCTCATCCCCATAGATTTCAAGCTTGTCTGGGCAGGGCCCTCTTCACCTACTTTTCTGTTAAAATTAAATACTTGTCTTGCTTACCTATAGTACAGTGCTGTGGAATTTATTAGGCCTATATAGGTAATTGTAATCAAATTCTGTTTGCCATGCATTCAGTGAAATCTATCTGCATTAAAAAAAATCATTGGCATTTTCCCAATTCTTGCAATTGCTTAGGAATTATTCATTGATATCCAACTGGGATATGCATTTGTCTGAAATGGTTGATAGATATCTGGCCTAAGGATATTGAAATTCATTATTATATAAGACAGTTCACAGAGCATTTAAGTATGACACGGATAAACCTGTGGAAAATAAAGATAAAAACTGTCACATTCCCCGGAGTTGATAAAATTCATACAGAAACATTGGTCAATTATTGCGAATAACAAATACACGTCAACATCCATCATGTTCTCCCGCCAGCTTGTGGGACTTTTTGATACAAAGTGTTTTGGTTTACTGTTATACTAAGAGATCCATCACTGTGAATGTTGGCTGTGTAATATGCACATGGTATTAATTATATGGGCACATGGCATCGGCAAGTATTTGTTCATCTACAGTCTGACAAGCGATTCAGACACAGAATCAAAAGTACATTGGACCATGCTACCTGCAAAATACTAGTGATTTAAATTATATTGGGAAAACAGATGTTATGGTCTGTGAAATCAGGGGACATTGGCCAAGCATTTGGGCTGTCTTTCTTGATGGGAATTCCTCTAAACTCCTTATCAAAGATTTTGTAGCAGGAGGTCACTGGTATACAACTTCTAGATTCATGGCTGCCAATTACATCCCTCCCACAGTTTGTAGAAGAGACAATTTTCCTATTTAGACAGGAGGCTTTCTCGATATATACAGTGGAACATTGGCCATCAATGGACTTAGGAAAGCAGCTCTGACACATGAATATTACATATTCAATATTCAATGAAATTACATTGCAATGAAAAATAAAATGAGACACAATAGGAACTTTTTATATGATGATTAAGTCAGA